TTTCTCCTAGGCCTTAATTTGTAAAAACATTTCACCTTTATAACAAAAAAACTGTTCGAGTTTAAGCAAAATACTTAATGGCTTAGACAATATGGTGAGTGTTGCAGAATGATGGAAACTTTTGATCTCATCATCAATCACCACAATCCCATTTTTGAAGTGGATGGCGTAGCATTCAGAGGGAGACCACGACGCGTCTTCACGACCAGTCAACGTGCCAGCTCAAGTGAGGAAAGGCTGTTCACCGACTGGACATCCACCTGTTATTCTCCATGTACTCCAGTTATCGCTTCAAAAGCATTACAGCATCAGAGTTGACCGACACCCAGGTCAAATGCAAGCAATCATGCTTGTTGAAGCACCCTTCGAGGTTATTATACCAGTAACGCATTCCTCCTGGTCAGAACCCATAAGAGTTGCTAAATATCCTCGATTCAGCACTCTTCCCACAGATGAATGATAGGTTTAGTGCTTAATCACTGCTGACTTGCTTCTCTTTGATGAGAACCTACAAATGAGATGGATTGGTTGCCGTTTCGAAGATTGACATCTGAGTTTCCCACCCTTTCTCACCCTCATTTTACTGCAAAATGTGGGTTAGACCATTTTTGGCATCTGCTCTGCCTCTGGGAGTGGAAAATTGATTATTTTTTGTGTCACCATCTGGAAGGAGAAAGAACTTTGAAACACCAACGTCATTTTTACTAGTCATTTGTTTTGTGACATTGTCTGATTGCACTCGTGTCAATGGCATTTATCGTATCCCCGATTCATCACCACTTTGTTCGAGTCTTAAATTTGATCATGATCAAACAAATTATGAGGAAGCAGAGAAGCTGTTCTACCAAACATAATCTGATTCTTTTTTGCCTTAATTTAATGCCATAAATTTTGTGTGTACCTGTGAGAATGGGTGGTAACTTGGGTGGTCATATGCTGAGGCCAATGCAACTCTCCCCAATGGGGAAGGGAAGTAGTCTTCCATGCTGAAGAAAAGAAAACAAAAAAAACAACCATTAAGGAAGCATCAACACAGTAACAGTCCAATGAATCCCAAAACAACGACCACCGGAGAACAATGGATAGCGAAAAAAGCTAAACTTTGGTAGACTGAACTTTGGACCAATAGGCGATCAGGAAACTTGAGGGGATAAAAATTTGATGCCAAGGCCACCAAGACAGCAAATGCATAACGCATAATTTTGACTCCAGGATTTTTATAGGGCTCTTCTAAACTGACGAACTTCTTTTAACCAAGTAGTCCAATTAAAAGCTGTGGTGCCAAGGCTTTACAATAGGGTAACTTGGGAAGGTTAAAATTTGGGGGTCACAGGTTAAACGGCAAATTATGGCGATCCATTTCTGCAGGAAGGAGTAAAGTCGTAGCTGGAAACGCCAAGTTCAGTGGAAGGTGCAACCTTTTTTACCTGTTGTAGTAAGTAGAAAGAGGCGCAATTCCCTTATTGTTGCCATTGCAAGGTTTACCAACTATATTTCATGGTTTGAGCTAAAGACCTCGTTCTCAGTTAAATATATACGATCTCAAAATGCTACAGCTACGTTGGGTGAATAAACAAGACCCAGAATAGATCATATACTTCAGACTGGCGCTTGTCCGGGAGTGTGTATATATTAGTATGCACAAAAGTCTTGTGTTTGTGATTAGCCGTGTGAACACACCACCAAACATGGGGTGGGGGGTTTGTGTCAGCACAGTGGCACAGACATCACACCACATCGCTGACACGTGCACCTATGATGCCAAAGCTGTTGCGGGTCCCTAGTTTGACCTCCTCGTATCAAAGGTAATATGCACAACAGTATGATGGCAAACCATCGTACTGTGATTGAACATATGAGTTGAGCAAAAAAGTGTCCTGCTGAGTGTCAGGTTACTGCATTACAACGCCTCCACTGGTTGTGCAGGCGGCTTGGCTGTACCGTTTTTCACTGATTACTATCTAATACACAAGGAGGAGGAGGAGGAGGAGGAGGAGAAATGCGTACATGGAGACTCGTAATTAAAGGTTGCGAATTTGATCACGGGAGAAAAGACAGAGAACTTACACTTTCGCCTCAATTTAAACGTAAACTTAAATCATGATCACTCTGAAAAAAATTTAAAATGGGTCAACAATATAACAAAGTGGGACTTAGGTCGGCGCCTTGTGTGTGCGTTGTCCTCCTCCTTGGCATGAATTTTTACGAGAAAATTGTCTTGAGAGGTGACTAAATCTCGCAAAGGGGGTCTTTACCGCCTAAGAACAACGCTAACAGAGATGTCTCGGCTAGTGTCAAACATGCTCACTCTCTCCCAAAAGTCATACGTCATCTCAGTCACGGCGATGGCAACAGTGACGCACAATCCTTCTAGCTAAACGACGCAAAACATCTTCCATGATTCGGCGCTGAGTCATTGATGTTGTTCAGGCTTCGAGAGAACTTTGGCCCTACCCACACTGGTCTTAGCATTTAGTCATCTGACTTCCTACTGTTGGTCCATTGATACTTGGGTGTGGGGGCTATGGACTAGCAATTAGTAGGAAAATCTGAATGGGCATTCAGAATCGAGCTGTGGGATCTTAAAGTTGAATGGGACCAGTGCTCCACAGCCTGTCCATCAGTAGCGATGCCAAGCATGGTGGCTTCCAGCACCCAGCTTCTAAGCACTATTGCATGAAGAGTGCGAAATTCTGCAAGCAAACCACATCATATAACAAAGTTCTGCTTGTAAAGGGTAGCCTAGAATTTTGATGCAAAATCGAATTTTTGCTGTTAGCTGCTCATCTGTAACTAGGAGACATGACTAGGTCTCTACGCCTGTTGACAAGTCCCTGCTACCAATTTCCGCTTGTTGAAATTCATTTTCGTTTTATAAATTAAGTATGAAGTGGATCTCGACTCACACTGGTAAGAGGATGAAGAGAATCTCGCCTAAGTCACATTAAGGCGAGGTCCAGTGCGTATAGTAGTCCACCCTCTGGGTGGCGCTGACGCTGTCTACAAGGCTTGAGTGAAATGCGTCTCAGGAGAGTACTCGCCTCACAATTCCTATCTGCAGGACTTTTCTAGTGGAGGCGATGTATGCTTCAAAGAAAGTCTGTGCAGTATTCACACCCCACCGTGTCTTGTAGGTTTCCAGGGTGGTGAGCACTCTCAAAAGGGGAAAAAAACAGTTGCGCCGACTTTGTATGCGCGTTGGAATGAATTATGGATGGACACTCAGAAAAGCTACTCCACGCTTTACAGTGAGTGAAAAACCCAAGAAAATGTAAATAAAAAATGCTTTCATTGGAAGCCCTTATTCGCTAATCTGCTCTTGTTCTCAACTAGGCATCATTGAAAGGCAAAAAGCGGTGAAACACGTCCCATAGAGCTCTAAAAACGATGCAAACTTAAAGAATGCATAACAGAAATGACTAGAGTTGTGAGCAATAGGAGATGGTCGTTACTGTTATGCAAGATGTCGAGAGCTTCTTTAAAGTATTTTATTTGTTGAAATTGCCAACATTGCAATTTACAGTCGTTCCTCCACCGAGAGAAGTACACAAAAATCCCACCTGTGGAAGAATAAACGTAACCTAACCTTGTAAGAAATATGACAGATAAAATAAGACGAAGTAGTTGTCCCTTTACTTCCCAGGTTGATGGAGTAGCGATGAGACGTGAGGTTCTCCACTTTTTCCGTGCGACAATCCCATCACTCAACTGGTTGATCTCTACCAGACGTTTCCTTGAAAAAAGTTTATCTCATGTGCCTTCATCCACCAATGCATGGTCATCAAAACCACCTTTCAGAGGGCTAAGGAAGGTTTCTTGAGGATGTAGTGGTGCCATAGGAGGGCGGTCCACCATATTGCTGAAACACAAAGGTCACTGAAAGGCAGAGATTGCCGGTGGGACCCATTTGCTTATTCTTTCACCATCACTAAAACCAAGTTTGAACGAGTTGTCCTTACCGCCCCCATGTTGGACAGGATCGGCTCCTATTCTTGATTAATTTGATGCCATCCCACAATTCTCTTCCACTAAGAAATGAAAATGCTTCCATTTCATTTTCCGCCTCTTCCCAATGCTACACAACAACACCGATAGGAGACTTCCACCCGATCTCGAATTGTCAGTTTGGATTCATAAAGCACAAGTGCTTGAAGCGCATAAGTGGGTCCCAATCAAAACCTGTATACAGGAAAGAGGGCATACAAAACCAAGAATTACAGTACAACAGAGTGCTGAACTAGTCGACTAGTCCAAATCTGCCTCTTATATCAAGTGGACAACCTACGGCTTCATGCATGACCTAGGTTTTGCAAACTGAGAATGCAGGAAGGGTTGGCGCTGCCGAGTTGACGACAACGAGGCGGAAATGGCATCATACGGCCTGCCAACTGACAGTGCCTCCTCAACTGTCTGAAGCTAATGGTAACCCATGCTTGACATGCACGTTAAACATAATTTTTTTGTAAAAAGTTGCCCCAAAGTTTGCACTTTACATCCCGAACCATTCCATCGGCGAGAGTTTGACATGATTCATCTGCATCACAAACGGTTCTCCGTATTACTGATGGTGCAGTGCATAACCAATTCGTAACTTCTGGCAACGTTATTGGATATTTGAACCTTGGCAGAGGTTCGGAAAGAGATGGAGGAGGACGCTAACCCCTATAGATACTGCATATGAAAGAACCCCCACTTTTGGAAGAGATGTCCCTCATAAGACAATAGGGAAATAGGAATAACAATGCATCACCAGAAAGTCCGACCCTGTCCACGATAACAGACGCAAGGGGTTGCAGTTTCAGATTCGACGCGACTTCGGGTGCAGGCATTAAAACCTCACCAAGGGCACTTTGTTAACAACATCCTGCACGTAAATCCGGTTTTTGGTTTGTAGTTTCAAAGATTAAAAGTGGCAATCTGCGAAAACAATGCACAACACTAAATTGTATTAAACAATATAAAAGTGGAGAATGGTAAAATATGGAGCAGACTCCGTCTCTTCAAGCCAGACTTCTGATCATTTGGCAGCCTAAATGGAGAAGTTGTATGTATTCCTCTGCATCTTGAACTATTCTTAAATCAATTTCCTAAAATAAGTGCATACGGTAAGGTTAGGCATCCAAGAATTGGCAAGCGAAGAGGAACAAAAAACTACCTACCGCTATAACTTGCAATATTTTCTGCTTTGAACGATCGGGAAAATCCGTCGACTCCAAGATTCTTGCTTGAAGCTGAGTCAAAAACTGAGGTACTGAGAGACTTTCTCTCGTCAAGTCCTTCAACGAAATCATAAGTTAGGAAGGAGATCAAAATTAGACAAAGAAAAGAGGGGGTTTCACAACTCCCTTACAAGAACTGTAGACTGCATCGCATCGAAATCGTGTTTTTTTGCTGCAGAAATAAAAGCTTTTTCAAAATGGTCGGGAACCACAGTGGCCACCTGATCCAGATCATCGCAAGTGACGCTAACAGACTTATTTGATTCTTTCTGACCGCAAGGTGTTGCAAAACAGGAGGCTGATTGTAGAAGATTGATGCCTTGTCGAAGGTCACCATCGCACAACACCAAAAGGTGGTCTAACGTCTACTCAAAGAGAAGAAAAGTAAGACAACATTGAAACTGCTTTGAGAGGTACAAAATATATCCTACACTATCTGAGATGTCTACGTTCTCAGCGTCAGCGATATATCGAAGTCTGGACCTTGCAACGTCGCTAGTAAGGGGCTTAAACCTGAATTTGGCGCAACGACTAGCGATAGGACTGATGATTCGAGTCACGTAATTGCAGGTCAAACAAAAGCGTGTGCTCTTCACATCGGTTTCCATAAGACGTCGGAGAGCAGCCTGAGAAATAGATAAGTGTTAAGAGATCGCTTACCTGAGCAGGAGCAGTCATGGAGTCAGCTTCATCGAGAACAACCAACTTGTATGGTGGTGGAGAGATTGAACCACTACCACCCTCAATATTGCTTCCGACAGCCAATTTAGAAAAGCTTTTAACTTTCTCGCGGATGACACCGATACCGCGCTCGTCACTAGCATTCAGTTCAAGTACCCTGTCTGAGTACAACGGTCTAAAGCAAGTTATGGACACAGGAATCCCATCAAACCCAAAAAGCTGACGTGCAAGAGCAAGAATCAAAGAAGTCTTGCCAGTGCCAGGTGGCCCATAAAATAAGAGATTAGGTAACTATGCGAAAATCGCGCGAGAAGGTTTCCTTACGTCAGAGCCCTTCAAACATTTTTGTAGAGCAGAAACAGCTTCATCTTGCTGAGCAACGTCATTTACAGTCTTAGGTCGGCTGAGGAGTAAGGCTCATGAACCAAGCTTACTATTTTTCAACCCAGGGAGTAAATGTCTTACTGTTTGAACTAACTTTCTTTGGCCCCGTAGAACCACCAGCACCGACGAGAAACCTCTCCATTCGGAAGGGTTTATCCGCAGCTCACTCAGTCTTGGGACGTCATTATCATCATCATTATTAGATGCATGTTAATTATACCAAATTATTTAATTAAATTGTGTCATCATTAAATTAAAAATAAATTTTTTATTTATTTAATCGTAGATAGGTGGCTTTTGCTCAGTTATTATAAAAATAGGAAACTCTCTTCAGATTCAAGGTTATTTTGCTTTACGGTATTAACTTAGGTCAAGGCGTATGGTGTTGGAGTTAGTCATTGGTTGAGGGCTACATGGTCGTTCCGGTGGATGGATTCTACTAACGATCGATTCAAGGAAGCGTCATGGAAGTTGATCCAGAATAGCGATTACGAACTCTCGTCGGAGTACTATGACACTACTCAACAGTTCTTGGAATCCTTCCAGCTGCTGGAACTCTCTTCCTTTGAATCGCTGAAATTGGCTTTAAAAAACTTTACAGAGGTTTCATTACCTTGTTGATTATATCAGATTTAGGAGACAGGTTACGCATATACTATCAAACGATCTAAGCGCTATCGTGAAGATGATGTTCGACGAGACGTTTTAGTTTACAATCATATATGTTATGGGTGTACTCTGCATGTTCAGGGTTCTTCCCATTCCAACAAGTGCGCACTCATGCATTTCGCTTAAGTTCACTATGTAGGAAAATAGAAAATCCCTGCCCATCCCAGATAAATTTTACTAGTGTGAAAGGGTCTTTCAAAGTTGCGAAGTATACCATGGTTCACAATCATCCTCCCCCAATGAGTAGCGCTACCCTTGAACTCGATTCTTCTGCTTTCCCAGGTATGTTTATCTTGATCAATGGATAAGTTTGCTCTGCGTTTAGCTTTTATCGACTGCAGTGACAGTTTTCGTGAAGCCTTTCCTACAATGTCTGCCGGCTCCTATGTAGAGTTTACTAATCGTCTGAAGCAATTTGAAAGGACGACGGGTTCAGTTTACATAAAGTACTCGAGTGGGCTTTTCGGCAATACAGGAGATCGACAGGAGGCGCTGTGCAAGTATAAGAAGTTGCGGTACGTCTGCGTGCATTACGGATCTCGTCGAAGTGAGCCGATTCGGAGGCGCAATCAACACACCACGAAGATCGGTTGCGGCAGTTGCTTTTCGGTGAAGTATCGTGAGGGGCGACTACAAATCGTCAGCTACGACATGCGACATTGTCACCCCGTGGATCCTGAATCCGCGATGCTCTATCCCCATAACCGACGGCTTACGCCATTGGAAACAGCAGAGATCGAGCAGATCCTTGCTTTTAATCCCAACATGGGGGAACTGAAGCATCACATTAAGGGTTTGTTTTTTATTGAGTAGCTCATCACGTTTGTTACTAGAATGTGGAGGCGCAGTCAAGCAAGCTAATATGGCTAAAAATAGCTTTCCTGTAAGGGAGTAAACTCTGGTACATTGATTGAACCTAATAAAAGGAAAACGAAGGGGGAATATATGCATTGTGTACTCCATAGAGGTTTGTTGTCTAAAGCAATACTTTTTTCGAGATATATGATTCAGTGTGGTGCTACAATTTTTTACTTGATTACCAAATTTAAGACTGGTTGTGGGATGCAGTGAATTTAGTTTTATACAAATCAATAGTCACATATTTCTTCTTTCACTCCATTTACAGATGGCTAAAGTACAGAAGTAGTACCTTGTGATTTCAAAATACACCTTATATGTGATATTCCCCAATCTGATCCCCATCGACTTGTGCAACGATGTAAATGGGGGTGATGAGTATTTTAAAAACATTAATAAATTTTTTAAGCTGCGTTTTTATATGGTTGTAAGGAAAGAGGTGTTCCACGAGATGGATGTCGAATGGTCTCCAGCAGAACACACTTCCCCCGTTGGTTTATGATATTGTGTGCATGCATGAGCTCACACAAACTAAGATTCTAACTTACACCTTTACAGAAAAGTACGGCAAAATCTGCACAACAAGAGACATAATCAACATGCGCTTTCGTCGGAAAAAACGTCTGGAGATGTCTAGTTTGAATTCTACCAAGGAAGTGAAAAGTGTTCAATCACAATCCCTCCCCTCCTCTACATCTACCTTACCCGCTGGAGCGAATTTGGAGTCGCTGGTGGATATTTGTTGTCAACAGAAAGGCAATTCAAGCCAGGATGCTGATGCGCTGGAACCGGAAGCAGAGGAGGAGGAAGACGAGGATGGAGGGCGTTTGTCGCCAGTCCTGCAGGACATCCAGCAATTTACGGAGACTACACCTGCAGAGGAGATAACGGGTTTTCAGTCGGTGCTTCGTAACCTTGCCAGTGCTTGGCGGCGAAATCAGCAGTCCGTAGTCGTAGTATCCAAAAGTGATGACCCTCATGTGGAGGAAAGTGTACCACACTAGCGATCTTTCATGTCCTGTCGCCTTAATTATTTGAGCTCCCATTATGTGTATACGTTTGTGCGTTATGTATATTGACTATTTTTTGAAAGGACCTCCGCCTTTTTACATTCACTTAAGGTAGCTGCTATGTGGTTTAGAGATGACCCGGTTGTGTTTAATGTACGCGGGCACTATAGTAATGAGACGCTTCACATGATCGGACCTGAGAGTTGCCCCTCGTTTTTATTTGTTATTGGCGTTCCCCTCATCATTGTATGGTTTGAGTCAAAATTTTCCCTGTGCAATGAGTTCAGAGGTAGTTCGTCAGGAGGATGCATTTCTTTCGCTCCGTTCCAGGTGTGCGTTACACCGGGATGATGTTAACAAGGTTATGCGGCGAAAATCTATATGTTCGGTGGAAACGGTATAGAATGCCGCAGCGAAGGATGGATTGGTCTTCGTCCGCTTTAGAGTTCCAGCGTGTAATAATGTTTATGTGGTCACCTGGTGTCTGGCGGTCACTTTAAGGTCCGTCTGATTCTTGTACCCGTGGGGTGGCCTTCGGGCCAAGCTCAAGCTTAATCATTTTGTTCTCCCTGGAATAAGCTTGTCTAGCTCTACTTCATGCCGTTTTCTACCTGGTGGGAAGTCTCAGGACGCCACACTGATTGCAGCGGAAGGCGAACTCGAAATTTTTAACGACTTCTAACCTAGCATGTACCGTTTGTTGCATGTACTTACGGTGTGGTGGAGGCGCATTTACATCTAAGGCGGAGGAATCTCTGAATTCTTCACAAAAAGTGGGTTGAAAATCTCGTCTGAGTTTTGCTCTTTTTTATTCCCGTGTTCCGCAGACAAGCTACAAGCAGCTGAATCGGCACCACCGTGGACCATCGGAGAAGTTTCGTATCAAAAGTTTATGGGTGTCCGAAATGACACTACAGTTCTCCCTATATACAGGATAGTGTCTGATCCCGTATTTCCTGCAACGCATCTAGTCCTGGAAGCAATAAATGCTAAACGGAAATATGCGTTTTCGTATTCAGCTGTCAGACCGAATGTAACTCCAGGTCCGTTTGAAGCTGCCGAGGAGACCAAATGCGGTTCCTCAATGTACCGTTCCGAGACTTCCCATGGGGTGGAAGAAGGCATAACCGAGGTTTAATACATGGGGCTTGAGCATGACCCGAAGGCCAGCCCACGTGTACAGGAGCTAGACAAATTCTAAAGTGACCGCCAAACGCCATGCGGTCACATAAACAAAGTATTACACTCAAGTTCGTGTAAGCTGTTGTACTGCTTTGTTTATGTGACTACCTGACAGTCAGCGACCACTTTAGATTTTGTCTTGTCCCCGTACACATGGGCTGGCCTTCAGGCCAAGCTCAGGTCCCATTTGGTCTGTCGTCTTCGGAATACATGTATTCTACCTCAATTATGCTTTATACCACCTTATAGGAAGCCTCGAGACGCTAAAGCCGTGACTGGTGCGGCTGGCTAGTGGATGCTCTCGAGCAGTACCGAATGTGCAGTGATGGCTGGTGCAGGAGATACAGGAAGAGCGTCGAGGACGTCGCACAAAATAAGGGAGGGGCAGTGTAATACCTTGTTGGTGTGACCACCTGATGTCTGGCGGGTACTTTAGGACTCGGAACAAGGTCAGACTTAATCCCTTTGTTATACCTTGACAACATGCATTCACCACCACTTATGCCTTCTTCTGCCCAATTTGAAGTCTCGAGACGCTACGCAACTCTTTTGTTTCGTAATATATGCGTTTCAGATCTATAGCCTTCACAAAAAAAGATGGTACAGGAATATAGCGGCTTAAAACTCGACTAAGATTTAAGTATGCATTATTTTTAGTTGCATTTAATGAAACGAAAAAGGCTTTGAGGCTAAATTAGAAAATGTTGTATTAACGAAACCGTTTTACATACAGTCTCCCACATTAAAAGTTAAACCTATTTACCTTGAAGCATGTTTATCGCGCTCAAAGTTTTACCAACAGCAGTATTAACTGCTGGCGCATTTTCGTAGATTGGCAGTGAGTTCTATCTGTTAGTTTGGTTGTAGCTTTGCCTTAAGTAGTTAGTATTCTCTAATCTCCATAATAATCGTGTTAAGATTTTCCACTGCAGCTACTGTGGTGGTAAATGTTAAGATGAATAGGACAACTGTCATTGGTTGTAGATCTATTGTCTGCCTTTACTTTTCGTCACTAGTTCTTGCCAACTAGGTTTAACCAATACTGATTTCAAAATTTCACACCCGATTGATTACCGGATAGAATATTAGACACGCATATCAAGGTGGATTTTTGGAACAACCAACTTATTAGTCCGTTTCATTATTTATACCTTTGTAGTATGGATAAGCTCCCATCTGTTTTATCAGCCGCGCTGTCACCATGCTCGAGAGCAATCATCGTTTACTTTTGTGGCTTACGTTCTCAAAGTTACAGCTATCTACAAGTGAAATCCGTGCGTGCCAACGCAAACCCTGTTACTCTGGAAAGCGCTTCTTGTCTCTTAGTAGGTTTCGCGAATGTCCAACATTTCTAATTTTTGTCTACAGTTTTTTCATATTTCCTTTGATTGATTCGTAAACTCTAAGCAATTCAAAATCTCTTTGGAAGGTTTTGAGGTATGATTGCAACATAAAGGACTTTTTCGAAAAAAAGGACCTCAATATTTTAAGACAAAACTGATGTTGTTCTCTTATTTGCTGGGTTTAGACCTTTGTAAACTTTCTTTTATGCCGTACAACAATACGTAGTTGATACTGTAGAGATTGGGATCATCGCACGAGACCTCATGGAGAATCGAGGGCGAAATGATTACCAAACGATGGATGTCTATGAAATCTAACGATACCATAACTGGTCTTCTCTGTCGGCACTCATCAGAACATCCAATAACTAGATGGGTAAGCTGTTTTCTTGCATAAATCACTGAGTGCTACCATGATAAACTTGCTACTCGGTAATTACATTCTCAGAATTTAATGTGCTCTCCATTTGCAAATCGAATGGGAAATAGCAAACCAAGGCGCTTGAGATTTTGACCATTTCTTTAGCAAAAGAACTTGACGAAATGTGACCTCCTGAACGCATTTGCCTGGTCCTAACAAAAAGAAATGATTTGCATCTCAGATCATTTCCCTTCGCGTGTCGTGGATGGCATGCTCCAAGGCATTTAGCACAAAAGCAAACAGGCACACTCACAGCTCGAGAGAGGGAGTCGCTTGTTGAGAGACCTGCATAGACTTGCGCCACCCTTGATGGGTCTTATAGATTAATGTTTGCGACAGCATGAGTTCGAACGCCATCTCAATATTTTATCGAACTTCTGTAAGTCAAAAATCGTTGATCCTCCAATGGTGACTAAAAGAGCGCTTTACCAGTTTAACACGAGTATTGTGTTTTCAGGTGAACCTGTTTCGGTTGCGAGCTAATGATAAAACTACGTCACCGTCGGAAAGCACGTGACTTCTGGCATGGACGTCATTCTATGACGTATTTGACTTCAGTGTTAATTATAAACACGTACCAATTCTTCTGATAAGATGTCACTGCAGTTCTCTTGTCTATGAATTGATCTCTGTGCAGTTGGTTAGCTTATACCAATATAACGCTGAGCGAATTCCTAGCATGCAAATCAGCTGCAGCTATTCTTTAAATTGTCCAAGGCCCAAATTGAAGCAGAGGGCTGAGGTATGTCAAAGCACAGAACCGCATGACCTTGGGGGCTGAGATTTCAACAAGTCATTTTTTCAAAATTCAGTAGCAAAAGTTGCAGAGGCCTGTTGAAGCCTCCTTAGTAAGAATACCCGTTTGACGCTCCAACCAAATGTTGGGAATGCTTATATTCCTTCGTTTTAGGCAGTTGAGGTGAACCTTGCCAAGGATCCGTCCAGTATGTCGACACCCATGGTTGCCAGGTTTGAGTGCTTTACAGATGTTGCCAAGGAAGAGGGCTCTGAAACCGTCAACATCGACTGTGATGGCGGAGAACTTGACAGTACGTTTAATGAAAACTTGAACCAGTTTTCTTATGGATCTCCTTCGGTAGATGTGCCAAACGTTCATCCTTCTCCAATAAACGACTATCGAGTTACACTTACGCCTGCGTGGGTAAATAGAGTAAATTTTTGCATGTCGCACTCCAGTTCGCGAATCGAGGAGCTCCCATTTTTGCTATAATGAGGGAACAGTCGTGCTGTTGTCATGGGAGCAGCACACCGGACGCCTGACGAAGCAAGTATGCATAACGATACTCTGAATAGTTGATTTAAAATGATTTCTGATTAATGTGGATGGGTATGTGAACGGGCATATTTTCGATAACCAATTAAATGATTGTATAACAAGTGATATAGCGTTTACAAGTCCAAAACATAATCACAACAAGAACTAATTCCGTTTGCTAGTGTTTAAACATATGTGTTCTCACGAGGTCATATCATGCCCTCATTCTGCGCAATTCTAATTCGAATTCGTCTCTGGATTGTGGTAGGAGAGCGTTGGAATGATGAAGTTGGAAGGAATGTGTAGGGGATCAAGAGGGCCTGTCCTGGGGTTTCTTTCGCCACAGGGGATTTCGACAACCCTTCATTACGAAGCTCCATATCATTGAACTCTACTCACTCAAGAGTACACTTAATTGACAAAAGTATTGCATATACGTCATGAATGCGTTTTCGTTTTTCGAAAATGCTCTGTGCAACCCATTTGGACAAGATTTTTATTCTTGCCGAGTCTTCACTCAGGCTTGCTTTTCTTACATCGGTGTCGTTTAGCGTTTCCAGTCGACGTCGATAATACCCGTCCCAAATCCATCCCACTGGTAAGCTAATTGTGTTCTTATTTTGGCAGAGAATCGCTTTCGTGTAATCAGAACCACAGTAAATCCTCATATTCCCTACTCCCTAATTAAAGCGGGTTTTTAAAGAATTTCGTTCTATCGCGTAAATGCTTATTCACGTATTTTTTCTAAGACGAATATATTCAGCCGAATTTTTTAAATGGCGCGCTGAGGTGACTCCATGTAAGCAATAGAAGTGTGTAAAATGTCGTTTGCAAGTTGATGGTCAGACATCCACGGCTAAGATTTCGCTGCGCAACACACCTCAAGACTAAGGAAAAGTCCCTCAAATAGGGTAATGGCGGGAAGAAGCTTCCGTTTCGGGCTGTCAGCCCAAGACCTTGAAAAGAACAATCGGTATGTTGGGGAATTTGACCATTAGAATGGGGGTGATGGGATATTTGTTCACTTTCGACCCGTTCTATGGTGCCTTTTTTTGTCTTGTCCATTGCAAATAAAGATGTGTTCAAGTTTTCTTCCAAAGCATGCAGTAAACATAAAGCACAACATTATTTACCCAAAGAACAAAATTGTTTTATCAGCTTGCACTTATTCTGGCGTGCATATTTAGTGGCGTGGATCTGAGGTGCTAATCACGGGCGATGAAACTCATTCCCCCCAGACTCTGCAAACCAAATCTGACCCCAGATCATTCATGTCTTCGTGACTTTCTGAAATCTCTACTTATTGCAGTTTGCCATTCAAAGTGACTCTTAAGTAACCTTTGTTTTAAAACGATGGAAACGCACGATTTTCACACTTGTGTGAGTCAAAGCGGAAGACTCGGATGATCATTTATTACAGCTATGTCGAAATTCAACTTTCTTAGGTGTGTCGTCCAGAATCAATTGCTTTTCAAAGATTTTAACCGCTCTTTGGGGGTCTATTTAAACACGATAACAAACTAAGTTTACGCTCAAGAAGTAGGTTATCGGAGAAGAATCTCGATATCATTTTAGTAAGGTGTTCTCCCATTTTTCGCTCAGCAGTGTTGGTTACTCCAAAAATTATGAACGTAGATCTCGGAAACCATTGTTTTAGGAGCAATTTGTGCGTAGTTTTGATTTTGTTGACCCATTCAGTTTGCTACATTCCAATCCGATTCACATGCTGCGATCATGCGTAGCCTCGAACGTGGTAAATTTCAGAGGTGATAACTTCGTAATACGTAGCAAATATCTGCTAACCTACTCAAGTCCTTTTAAGTAGAGCACTGAAGCGGTTTATATTCATATTCTTTACGGCCAGTGCAGAAAAAGGCTGTGTTCTAACAGTAGACTTTTAAAAGGAACCACGAGGAATGAAAAGTGTATGCTCTTTAGGCCCTCATAATATGCAATGTGGTACATTCTTTCACATGTTCTGCCTCCCAGTCTACTATCTGGCGATAAGTCCCGCCTTACCCTCGGAAGACGATGAAGGAAGCGGTTTTAAGAACAATTCAGCTCGCGGTTTTACTCTACGGCCGGTGGACCCTGATGCAGGGCTGGATGAAACATCGTTGCTGTGCGTAGGCCACCGTGGGATGGGTGCCGAGAGAGTGGAGACGCCAGCCGAGGAGCAGTGGCCCGAGAACACCCTCCTTAGTTTCAATAAGGCCGCTGAACTCAATATTCCAATGGTTGAGCTCGACGTGCAGCCTCTGCGAGAATCCAATGACCTCGTAGTCTATCACAGCTTCAATATTGCAACGAGACGTTGTAATCGCGATCAATCCTGTGGCTGTCCTGATTACGAGATCGATGTCTTTAGTGGCGAGTTATTTTTTTGCATTTCCGCTTGTTCATCTTCCTGTCTGGTTGCATCTAGGTGATTGGTGTCTCGACATTAAATCGTCTCCTGGAATGGCCCGTTTTCTAGGTTCTTATTGCTTCCTTTTTTACTTTAAGAATCAGGAATATGCAACAAGAAAACACCTAACCTCGTTCCCACCTTCTCCTTAAACGAGCTGCAAAACTTGAAATGGGGCTTGCACAGTGCGACATGTGAGGGAGCAAACCACGGATACGAGGCAGAGAATGTGGAGACAAAGACAAAGGCTGAAGGTGAAGCGCTGGATAGGTGTCGGATACCTTTGCAACGCGGCACCCAACAAGCGGAGTATTTGCCTCTCTTTTCACAGGTGTTGGCTACGGTGCCAACGCGAATGGCGCTGGATGTGGAATTAAAGTATCCCCAAGACACCCCAAACATGGCATTTACACTGGTCCGTGAGGTGGGCGTGGAAAAGGAGAGTTTGGCAGAGTTTGGACATCCCAGTCGATATTTCTGTTCCATCAACCAATTTGCTGATAATGTCATTCGGGTGAGAAATTAAATTGGTAGATTTAGTTTGAAAGACTTGTGAATTGCACACAACCATTTGTACATATCCGTCACAAGGTCTACCAGTCTGTCGATGACCAAAGGCTTCAGGTGACAAACTGATATTGGTGTGCGTTTGTTCAACAGATCCTACGAACCCAAGGCAATGGACGGGCGATTGTGTTGAGTACATTCAATGCCGACCTCTGCCTGGCTCTTCGACTTAAGCAGATCACTTTCCCAGTGCTCTTCATCTCCCGTGCGGGCTGTGAACAACTGTTTTCGACCTACGTTAAGTCACTACCTCCACCGCACTCATCCACACGACTCCCACCACCACCGCATTTGCTGGACCCGAGACATCGCAATGCATTGGCAGTGATTGAGTGGGCCCACTTGATCGGAATGGACGGAGTGGTGATTCCCGGCAAACCACTGATGGAGGCAACGGCTAAGAGCGCCGACCTTGCTCGTCGCATGGCCGCTTTGCACCTTGCCTGCATCCCTTTTGGTTCATGCGTCTCTACCCCCGATTTCAAGCGTCGTGCTGCCGAACTGGGACTCACTGGAATCTGTATCGACAACGTATACCAAAATGCTTGGTAGCCAACGCCTCATTCCTTCAATTAACCAGCCATTCTTAACTCCTCTCCCTTCTTCCTCAATCGTCAGTAAACTTTGCTATTGTAGGTAGTAGTATAATGTTTCACAATTGTGCGAATCTGACACCTTTTAAGAGTAGTACTTGAATGCAACCGTTAATCGAAGTAAACAAGTATTATTTGTAGGCGGAGACTAATCCATTTTCATGATTGATGAGGATAAAGGTTAAAATAAGACACAGCAGTTCATTTGATAAGCAATACTGGTTTCTTTACTAAAATTCAACTCAGGAACTGTCGATGACCCACCACAATCTCCTGAAAGCCTTAGTAGTCGACCTCTGCACGATGTGAGGAGTGCTTACTTTACCATACGCATAAAGTTAGGGGCAGGTAATCAAGTGGTTTTAGGGCTAGTCATGGATAGCAATGCGCAGGAACGAAACTATCATCATTAATTCACGAAAGCAAATAGATTAAATTGCTCCTATCTAATGATACACCAGAACAACTATGATCAGACAACATGGCATCGAGTACATTCACCAGTGAGGCCACAAAGTACTTATTAACTTGATTCTAGTGCTACTTCTTTCACAAAATAGATAAAATCCACGAACAAGTCAGTACAGACATGAGTGAAAGAGAATCAGTCCTTAGACAGCAGCGGCACCGGAGATAATTTCAATCAGCTCTTTCGTGATGACAGCCTGGCGGGTTCTGTTCAAGGCGAGAGTCAATTCATCGATCATTTCACTAGCATTGTTCGTAGCCGACTGCATTGCAGTCATTCTCGACGAGTGCTCACTTGCCGAAGCCTCTTTCAGTGCGTAGAAGATTAAAGATGAGAGGAGGAATTCATTGTAGCTACGAAGTGCCTCATCATCTACAGAATCGTACAGTGCGAGGGAAGGAGCGTGTTGAAGTTGCTCAAGACTAAAAATAGGCTGGTCGACGGGAGTGTAGGAGACGACAGTCTTGAACTTGTTATAGAATAATGTTGCCTTGTCAAACTTAAAGTCGCAATCGAGAAGAGCTTGCGCGATCAGTGAGGCGTCTTCGAATGTTGGCGGTCTTTTCCCAACCTCAGTGAATGACATCAAAAAGTGCTCTGAGAATTGACGAGCGAGGAAAGCACGAGCCTTATCCCCGATCAGAACCAGCTTTATTTCTTCACCGGCGGGAGGATGCGAGAGCATTTCACGTAAAAGCTACAGGACAAAAATTCACCTTCATTTAAGCGGCCATAAAGTTAACACCTTAAAAGGCGAGCTTCCATACCTTTCCTATGGTGCTGTTGACAGCTCCACAAAGACCACGATCGGAAGTGATTGCGATTACAAGATGGCTTTTAACGGGAGAGTGATCCTCTTTCAGCTGCGCCACAATCCCAGTTCTATCGTAAAAGTTGGCAACACTGATGCCATAGGGGACGGCCAATCTCAACTCACGCTCAGCCTTGGAGAACTTAGCTGAAGCAACCATCTTCATGGAAGATGTAATCTTCTGGATGCTGGTGATGGATTTCAGCTGCATCGCAACGTCCTTTAAAGTCCCCATACTGCGGAATTGTACTCCCATTCTGAAATAATGCAGTAGGTAATTTTAATTAGAAACAAAAACACCTTGGATCACAATTAACACAAAAATGTGACAGGTAAAATGGCCTGGAGAGTGCAAAATCAAAAGCTCAAGCGCACTTAACAACCGCTCAAATAATCCAGGGAATCGATACGCTGAGACCACGTATAAAGCAACACTGACGAAATACTCAAGGATTAATTAAAGCACCTATACTCCAACTTACGGAGGAATAAAAGCTTGCAAGTGGCGGAGGTTCTGCATGACTACCACAAATTAAACGAACAGCTTCGGCAAGGGAGCGATCAAACCAGAGGCAGTTTTCTACAGGACCAACCAACAAGTTCAATGGACAGGTTTTAGCCAAGCGAAAAATAAAGACCTTACGGAAATGTTTTGCATTAATTCTTTTGGAATGAAAATCAAAGATAATTTACATCATCCAGCTGAGTTTCTTATCTAAATCATGACAATGGGATAATACTATAAGCTTATTTTGCATTAAAAGGCAGATTAAAAATTGTGATTAATTTGGGAGGGGCAATGCTTAACTTTTCACCCTGTCACTTTCGGGCATGTTAATGATATTTCGCTCATGCAATCCTATATTTGTAACAAAAATATAAATCTACATAGATTTGCATTATTTTTTTAATTAGACTTTATGATGAACTTTGTCAGTCGAAAATGGTTGTTACAATGCGTTATGACACTTGTTGGACGACTTTGAACCGTCATCCGCAGCATGGTGTGTCGGTAGTGGTATTTGGGGTTTTGGAATCGTTTTTGTGCTCATATTGTGTTCCTGTTTTCCTTCAATTTGGTTAAGCCATTCACTTCACATTTTTAAGCGATCTCATGCTTTGCGTTGCTGTTGTTCAACTTAACATTTGCGTCCGTCTCTGTTATGTTCCTAGTCTAACGTTCGTGCTTCCGATTTGCGCACGAAGTCTGAGGCTGAGTTGCTGAAGCAAGTGGGAGAATTGAAGACTGAGTTGGCTAATCAGCGCCTCTTTAGAATTACTCGTGGAGCTGCCTCAAAGCTTAGGAAGATGTAAGCTGTTTCTCTTTCGGCTCTCCTATTACTTCGAACTCGATCCTACTTTACTTTTGTAGTCGTGTGCTTCGCAAGTCTATTGCTCGCATCTACACGGTCATGAACCAGGCTGCTAAGCTTCGTCAGCGAGAAGCCTATCGTAAGAAGCGCTACGTTCCCAAGGATTTGCGGCCTAAAAAGACCCGAGCCATTCGACGTCGCCTTTCCAAAAGGGAGCGGTCTATCCACTCTCAAAAGACTCTCCGCAAGATGCGGTCATATCCCACAAGGCAGTTTGCTGTCACGCTTTAAATAAGTGTAGTATAAAAGGATTTTTGCCAGATTTTCCCCTTTTTTATCGGATCGTTGATATCTAATTTGCGTGAATAAGTGTTGGTGTCCGGTCTCTCTGTCTTTGCCGCGGAGTACCTATATGTGTATCTGATATTTTGATGGACATGGCTTTATCCTTTTAATGTGCGCCTTCGAGTTAATGTGGATCTTTATTCTGCGTAGACTTCGGTGGTTCCATTTTCTTGATTCGGTTTCCGTGTTTGGGTTGGTCAGCATTATTGCGATTTTGTCTGTGTCGATTTCTACGTTTTTTTTTGTGGTCGAGATGGTAGCTTTCTTACGTGTTTTTTAGCCCTACCTTAGATGGGTTATTGTGACTTGATTACTGTTTGAATTTCGGTAGTATTCGTGGTGCTCCTTTCATTTGTGGTTCCAATTATGGGTCCTAAGTGGTTGGTCTCAACTTCACCGGCTTCCTCCGTTTCCGTGTAGCCGAGTGGTATTTCGTTTATCTGACGTGAGAATGGATGTGTGGAAGTACTCTTTCCTCACTCTTATCCCTTAATTTTGAATGAAGCCGGTTTATCAAATTTAGGAATCACTGTTCTGTATTACATTGCGCTAAATGGCTGTTATTTTCCTTGAAATAATAGAGGCTACCACTTGCTTCTGCCATCTTGTTAGCTGAGTGTTTCCAGTTGTGAGTGCTGTCCATCATACACAGCATTGAAACGTCCGGTAAGGAAGATGGACTTTTTCGTTGTGGAAGCTTGTCAATATTGACAGCTGTAGTAAATCAAAACATGGCAAAAAGGGGTCTGATGCATTGTAGCGCCTGTTTTTTAGGAAATACCAGCTTTGTGGAGGAGAATCTTTTCCATCTGTCGGTATAGGTGGCTGCTGTTTTGGAAGTTCATCCCCAATTACACGGCGCGCGGAAGTGGGTATCGATACACAAATACACAGGTACAATTCACTTGGTGATTCACCCATCTATGTATTTTGGGTTTGAATCAGGCGGCCTTGGACCGCCTATGGTTGCTTACGGATTGCGTTGCGCTCCAATTTCCAACTTGTCCTAATGCCTGTATTTTGTTCCGCAAGATATGGGTTTGAGATTTTGCTCGCGACTAGCTTACTTTCGGTTACAGTTCTGGGTTTGCAGGGTTTCATAGCGTTGAAATTAAATGGAGGTTGACAGGTTGCATTTAAGTTGATCTGAAAAAGCTAAAAATTAGCACGTGGTGGTGCGGATATCGCAGCTCCGGAGAATTCATCTGGTTGGTGAGGGTGGTCTCACCAACACGATTTTGGTTGGCTTTCTTCATTCTTTACGCCAACCATGCGCGACAGTCTCCCGCCTCGGCTTTCGATCTTGCTTAGCTTTATATGAGGTGTTTGGCGGAACTCCAAAATAGGCGCTTCTGGGTTTCACTAATTAATAAGCGAATGACCAGATTATCAAAATTCTTCAATTGGTCCACTCGCTAGTCAAGTCATACCTGCTCGACGCTAACCGCCTCATTGGCAGAACAACAGTCTAATCTTGTAAATTGATAAAGAACAAGAGAGATTTGATCAATCAAGTCGACAAGGTGTCATATCTTGTCTCGTTGCAAGGCGGACTCGTGCGAAGCCCTGCATGTTTTGGACAGTTAGAAAACAAATTTACGGTAGCACATTGAAGTGAGATGGGAGCGTAGTTGACAGGGGGGTGAATCGTCTGGAGAAGGAGAAGTGACTGTGAATTAGTGGTTACGTCAGGGAATAAAATACGTTACAGGGTTGTGTTTTCGGCTAAATTGTATTTGACGACTTAATCTTCACAATGACTGATCCACTGCCTTACCTGATTCATCGAAACTTCGCATTTTCCTTTACGTTAACAAGCTTAATGGCAGCTTTATTGCTAGAGCCATAATTCTCTTTCTCCAGTAGACGCTTTACCATCTCCAATCTGCCAGCAACTCGTGGAGGGATTTAAGGCACCAGCATGCATCATATGATGCAACCGAAGGGACGAAGAGGATCAACTGCCGTTCAAAATTTTTATGCTAGCACTACTAATTTAATGGACGGCTTGGAAGCTCTGTCCTTATAATCCAACCTCTAAACCTTCCACACGTCCATTTTTGTACCATCAAATGTTTGATGGGAGAATTCATGGATGAAAACAAGCGGTCGCTTGCCGCTTGTTTGGTGCATTGAGTAGCTTTGGGGACAAAAATGAAACTGTTTATTGGGAAGATACGGGAGGATGGCATTTTAAGGACACTAAAATATTATTTAAGTGCGTGGGAAGGATGGTCTACCACCTATTGTATCCATTAAGGACGGTTTGGATGCGTAAGTGGAAGGTCTGGCTTTAAAAATGGCTTAACAACTGATACGAGCGCAATCAGGAGACCTCCAATGGATCTCTGGCGACAGATCATCAGTCCTCTTCTCTGTGCTGGTGATCCATTTTCAGGCCTGGTAGTTTGATCCCTGTCATCTCCGGCGAAGACGATTTGTCGGGAAAGCGAATTTAGACTAACAGATAACTAACACAGCTTCTCATCACTGAATTTCAACCTCAATGTTAGCTGAAGGAGGTATGAAAGTGATGTGTACATTCGGCAGGAAAGCTGTTGAAAAATGAAGTAGTGCTAGTCATAAAGCATCCGTAAATGCTTCCTTTGGAGCCGTCAGCGGATTTTATATTGAAAACATCAACCAGGCACATAACTGATATACCCTCGTTTACTTGCCTACAAGTTGAATGGAATGGGGATAGCTGTGGCAAGGGAGCAGTGAATAGCAAAAAAATGTTAACAAAGAGGAACAGATTTGGAACTCCATTTTAACGGACCCACTTCATTTACCATCTATTAAATTGCTTTCCCCTTAGTGCACTGCTCCCGCGGTGGACATCAGTGATGCTCTTCCATCCCTTCACCATAGCTCTCAGGCGTGATGAGATCTTGGGTCAAGCTGAATTGTCAAAAGGGATCCGTTACATCGTAGTCCACTACCTCTTTAGTCGGACACACGAATGCGTTAATTGCCGGAGTTGTTTTGGCCATTAAGGAAGTTGGAATTTTGGTCCAACGTTTGAGTTGTTTCTTTAACCCTGTTGTTTCGTTTCAATGGTGCTGAAGGCTCTGCCATTTTCACTCCCGCAACAGCTTTCCTTTAACCCATCTGTATGTCAGTTTGACGATTTGTTGTTGCTGGCGAGGTTACATAATTTCAAATGCGAGATTTGAGTGTCTCCTTCTTTCCACCTTCTACGACTGCAGCGGAACGACTCTTTGCAGCCAGTTGAAAAGTACTCCAGTAATTTTAACCTTACTTGAATTTGTAATGACATTTTGAAAGTGCTTTTAACCATACATCACCCCTTTGTGTGTGTGGGAAAGTAGGTAACTTTCAACGGTTTCCTTACCTCCTGGCAGCTGTCATAACACTGGTCATTATTGACACTGACAGGTGTCAGTTTGTTGCTTCCACAGGCATCATTACTCATTCAATTTTATTTTGGGTTCACAGTTTGGTGGTGGTGGATGGTTTTTTTAAAATTTGCAAATCTCTATCAGTACACCTTCATAATCTTTTTGCAAAGAGACAAAAAAGTGTAGAAGTTTCTGGTAGGGCTAGAATCTGATCAACCACAGAGTGTTCACAAGTCAACAATTTCATGATGCATGGATCAGTTATTCACCATTTACGTATCTGTTAATGTCGTTCTAGAAATTGCATTGTTTGAGTGAATGGGGAAAACAAGCCCCCTCTTTTCCACTGGTCTCTCCCCTGTCATTTTTGAGGCTTCAGCGTGCCAAACACAAGCCTGCAGTACGCTCATATCCACCGAGGGGATTAGTTCACGTCCGTCTTAAGTCCTGCACTCCCGTCTTCCACCTCGACCTTCATACACTTGGAAGGGAAAGATTTTCAACCCTCTTTCCTCCAGACAGAACTTTGAAATAACCGAGTTTTGCAGTACCATCAACGGTGAAACTGTTGCATGAGAAGGAGGGATTGGTGGCACAAGTGGCTGGTGCTGAGAAATGGTGCCACATAAGCATCTCTTCGGTTTTCCTTGCAATGCATTGGAATCAAAACTTCAAGTTTCATTGTAATGACATAAAATCGCTTTGAGAGCGGTAGAAACTGTACTGCCAATCCAGATTGTGCATTTTTGGCTGCTGATGCGGTATAGAAGTGTTGCAATTAGAGGGGTGCACAGTGACGGAGCCACTGCGTGATCGCATGGCCAATTCTCAGCGTCATGGCAAACACCGAGTTTGACCCCACTCTCTCTGGACAATTCCTAACATTGGGAAATCCTACTTGCCCTTTCATCCTCACTTCGGTACTAAGTGGCAACTTTTATCCGGGCTCTTTGCTCGCTCATATCACTGACACGGCAAAGATCATCGTAATGAACTTCCGGATAGGCTACAAGCAGTGCCGATTGTCTACAGATTAAGTCTCCTGTTACAGGTGTGTTTAGTTTCGGTTGTCATCCCTGTAGAGTCTTGAGGCTTCCGTTAGACGGAGAGAAGATGCAATTCTCGTCCAAAATACATTCTGTCACACAGAGAAGAATATGGGACTACTGAATTGTCACACGGGCCAACCACTTACTATGGAACACCAACGCAACGTGGCTCAGCCCACCGTTTTTGTTCATGAAATGGGCGTAAACAGCTTCGTACGGACGGTCATGACCCGGTGATATTGCATGACCCTAAAAACTTGTAAGTAGATTCGGCACGATGATAATGATGGATTCTAATGAATGATGTGGACTTGTAAAAGTAGGCCTCTTTGAGGGCGAAATGAAGAGTGTTGTGATGCTTATCTCCACTGGCCGTAGGCAAACACTCACAACATCGCTAACGGTATGTCAGAGACAAGCGCTAGAAGGTGAGTAGTAAAAAAGGAACTGTAAGGCTTAGCTGGGCAAATTGGGCTTAAATCTTCCTGTTGAACTTGAACTGCCTCTCTGGTTTGGTAAATTTGATGGTGAAAGT